CGAGGGAGGGGCGCCAGAGGGCAAGGTTGGGGGCTGGGGGGGGCGCCGTGCCGCCGCAGGTAGGGAAAGGGGCAGCAGTGTGCCGGCGCCCGCCAGATGCTTACCACTGCGACCCAACAGGGGTCCTTGCTACTCACAGAGCCACAGCAGCACGGCCAGCCCAGCCGGCCGGGTGCCCCGCCTCACCTCGAGCCCCTTGCAGGCGACCATGACGCACGAGACCGCCACCATCTGCAGCACACCGCGCGGCACGCCGTGCGGCGCAGCGGCCGACAGGAAGCGGTCGAGCAGCGCGACGGAAAGGTGCAGCGTCTCGGGCTGCAGGCGGAACTCGCCGGCGACCTCGACCAGCCAAGACACGACGACGGCGCGCATCTGGGGGGTGAGGCCCTCGCCGCCGCAGGCGGCGCCGGCGGCCACGGCTGCAGCCGCAGCCGCGGCGGCCGCGTCTAGGTAGCGGGGGTCCGGCATCAGCCCCGCCTCGCGGTCACTGTGGTGCCTGTGGGCGGGCGGGGCCAGAAGGGGCGCGCGCGCGTGCGCATGATGACGGGTCTGGCGGCGCGGCGGGTGAGAAGGGGCAACAGGCGTCCGAGCGGGGCCGGACCGGGCGCCCCTGCGAGCGGCTTGTGCGCGGCCGTGCTGGCCGCCAGCTGCGTGGTTTTCTGACGGATTGGCCGGGGCCCGCCGCGACCGTTCCGCACCCTTGGGAACCTGCACACCTCAGCATCTCCTCAAGCTCCGCGCTGGGCCCTGCGTTGACGCACTTCGTCGGACTCTCACGGCGCTCTTTCTGACTTTCGCTGCTCCCGCCAAAAACGCCGGTCTCGGCACACAGCAGGCACGCGCCCGCTGGAATGGCTGCAGGCCACGCCGCATGGGCAGCGCATGTGATGGCCGGCTGCTTACAGTGGGCGCCGCTCGGCGAGGATGCCTGTAAGGGTATCGATGTGGGGACAAGGCTTTGCGTTCTCAGGCTCTGAACGCCAGGAACCACAGTAATCCGCGTGGTAGTTCAAAGGCGTGTAAGAATGCGATCGGATGATACAAGCCTGCCCCATCCGTCTAGGCGATGTTGATGCATCGAAATACCCACGCTGGCGCAGCGACAAGCCGATCGTGGCCGACGCGCGTGCCAGGGGCACAGCCCCGGGCACATGTGACCGCAGGCCTCGGTGGGCGAGGCCTTGCGGAGCCCAGCTGGCCACTAAGAGATTCATTGAACTCTGATAACAGCATCTTTTGTGCCAGACACCCGATCACGTTCCACACACCTCACTCGTGCACAGGTCCGCTTCGCGGGCCAGGGTGTCGGTGCTCTGCGAGCTGGTGCTGCCAGAAAACTTTCCCTTATCGTGTTTCTGCAAGCTACTTGTGGCGAAGCTGGGCAGGGAGCCCGCAAAGGCCATTTTTGAAGCGACTAAAGCCTAGCTGGGCTTGAAACAAGTGTCGGAAACAAATTATACCACTGTGATTGGATCGGGAACTGGGTGAGGGCGTATCACGTCGTTGGGCGGCCAGCGGCCCCGCTTGTGTCTCCGGTGCTTCTCTTCACTCCGTTTGCGCTGCCGGTTGGTTTGGGTAACCCTCAATGTCATTTGCAACGAGAAGAAGACATCATTCTCATCAATCCCCTCTTGCTGGGCCGGCAGGGGACTGGCGCGGGGTCAACGTGCATGATGGCAATTGGCCGGTGCCTGATGCCATCCTCCCCCCATGTCGGCGACAGCCCAGAAAAGCGGCCCCCGCCACAGCATTGAACTTCAAGACAGCCAACATATGCTTACATAAAGCCATGCACATCCAAGGCCGGCACACATGGGCGCTCTGGGCCCAAAGGTTCACACATGCGATTTCGGCGCCGCCAACACTTTGAATTGCCAATTGAACCAGGGGGGGACGGGCTGCTTGCTTGTCGGTGCCCAAACCTGCGCTGATCACCTGCATCTTGACTAGGCATGGGTATGGGATGTTGAGGCTGCAAGAAGCACGCTTGCGGCGGCATCCCATGCATGTCTTGATCTTCCCACTCCTGGTGGGTGTAACTAACTGGTGGTGTACCGCCACCCCCCTAGCGACGGGAGGGGGGGGGGGGCGGAGTTGAAGCCGGCGGCAGGGCGCAAGGGGCCCGGGGGGGGGTGCGAATAGGTTGTGTGGGGCGTTTGATTGCTTCGGGCAGGGTCTGAGAGGGTTCTTCGGGTAGCGCGGGCTGGTTATGTCATGACCCCGCAAAGCTGAGCAGGTCTTCATCCCACAGTCAGCACAGGGCGCCGGCTGCCACGGACCTGCTACGCAGCGGCCAGCTCGCCACAAAGCACCCGCTCCGCCAGTTGAGCTGTGGCGCCGTAGCTCCTGGATCAATCAGGGTGTGCTGGCAGGACGAGCACGAGCCGCAAGCGCACCGCGGGAGGCCTCAAACGGGCACCCCGCACGCAGCAGGCGCTGCAGGGCCGCGTCACTTCCCGATGCAAAACTCCCGGAACAAGCGGTCAAGGAGCCCCTCCACGTCGCGCGCCCCTGGCGCCCCTGTCAGCTGTGCCAGGGCAGCGTCGGCGAGCCGCACCTCCTCAGCTGCAAGCTCGAGCGCGTGCACACACGCGTTCTCGCTGCCGCCGCCGCCGCCGCCCCTGCCGTTGACAGCGTCACAGTCAACGTCGCTGCCGCCGCCGCCGGATCCGAAGCCGCCGCCGCCGCCGCCGTCGCCGCCGAGCTCGGCGGCGCGCCGCAGGTGCGAGGCCGCCCGCTCTGCCAGCTCTCGGTGCCTCAGCCGCGTCAGCAGCGGCGCCGCAGGCGCACCCACCGCTGCGCCTTGGGACAGGACGCCTTCCACGGCGCCCCCCAGCGCCCCGAGCAGTGCGCGCAGGCCTGAGCCTGTCGCGCACGACACAGGATCCAGCAGGACGGGGGTTGGGCCCTTTTCGGCGTCGCTGCGGCGGCCCGGGCCGGCCAGCCAGCGCCGAGCGGTGCGCATGGCGTCCTCCAGCCGCTGCGGCGCGACAAGATCGGCCTTGTTCAACAAAATGAGCACCTGTGGTGACGCTGCCGGCTGGCAGCTGCTGCCGCCGCTGGCGCCGCCGCTGTTGCTGCCGCCGCTGAGGCCGCCCCTCCAACCAATGCCGTTCATGCTGCCAGTGCTTGAGCCAATGGCTTCAGAAATTTCTTGCAGGACACCCGCCAGCCATTCAGGGGCCAAATCACGTCCTCCCTGGCTGTCTTGGTAGTGTGGATGCAGGACAACCTGCTGACCTTGCTGCTGCTGCTGCTGCTGCTGCTGCTGCAGCGGCGGCGGCGGCGGCGGCGGCGGCCTTGTCGGGACTGGCACAGGCGCTGCCAGGGTTGACCCGGTCGCGGAGTTGAAGAGCTGCTCGGCGTCGCACACCCAGAGCAGGACATTGGCCTCTTTTGCCTCTTGCAGCGCGCGGCTGATGCCCTGAGCCTCGATCGGGCAATCCGTGGGGCGCAGCCCGGCGCTATCTGTGGTGGAGGGAGGCCACACGTGCAGCGCGTGTTGGAACGGAGCGGGTCATACCAGCAGAGCGTGGCAGCAGCGGCAGACTGCTAGAACCCTCCGGTGCAGCGACCTGCGCCCTTCCAATCTTCAAAACCAGCCGGACCCACTCGCCACATGCCTCTGCCCAGGCGTTGCCCGCCCCTCACCTGCCACGGCCACATGGTGGCCCGCCAGCAGCAGCGGGGCTTCCACGATGTCCCGCGTCGTGCCTGGCGTCGCACTCACTATGGCGGCCTCGCGGCCGGCCAGCAAATTCAGCAGGCTGCTCTTGCCGCCATTTGGGCGCCCCGCGATCACAACGCGCAGGCCGGCGCGGACAAGGTCGGCGCGCGCGAACGCGGCCGCGTGGCGCCCCAGGTCGCGCGCGAGATCGCGCAGATCTGAGATCGCGGCGGCCGCCTCGGAGGAGCCGAGCTGGGCGTCTTCTCCAAAGTCGAGGACGGCCTCCAGGCGCGCTGCGCACCTGCGCCGTTGGTGCCCACCATCAGAAATTGATGCTGACCGAGCAGGAGAGAGGGGATCCTGGCCTCCTTCAAAACCCTGCGCAAGGGCACGCCTTTCGCCCGTTCCAGGCCTTGGCCGCACCTCTTGACCCAATCAGACACCATGCACCTCCGCCGCCCTCAATTTGGGTAACACCTCTGCAGCTGACTGCGAGCAGGCACACGACGGCCATCCCCCTTACCTGGCAAGAGTCTGACGCCAGCCCGCCACGGCCCGCCGCGCCGCGCCGCCCGCCGCCGCCGCCGCAAGCCGCCGCTGCGCCTCGCTCTGCGGCGGCGCAGCCGCGCAGGGGCGCCCGTGCGCAACCAATCAGAGGGCCGCGCAGGCGGGATGCAGCCGGAAACAAAGGATCGTCACCGCGCGGACACGGCGTAGATGCCAAAAGAACCGGCTTGCACATGTCTTTGCTGTGCAGTGATGCGATCGATTATGGCGGCCGCCCAACCCACCTGGGCCGCAAGGATGTCAGCCAGCCCCTCCACCTCCGTCAAATCCAGCTTCCCGGCCTCGAACGCCCGCCTCGTGAACTCCCCCGGCGCCGCCGCGCGCACCCGCAGGCCCGCGGGCAGCGCGAGCAGCGCGGCGCGCGCCGCGGCGGCGGTCGCGGCGCCGCCGTGCAGGTGCAGCTCCGCGGTGTCCTCGCCCGTGAAGCTGGCGGGGCCGGGGAACCGCACGACGAGGGCGCGGTCCAGGGGCACGCGCCCCGCGCCGCCGCCGCCTTCGCTGCCGCCGCCGCCTTCGCTGCCGCCGCCGCCTTTGCTGCCGCCGTCGCCGCCTTCGCTGCCACTGCTGCCGCCGGTGCCGCCGGTGCCGCCGGCGCCGCCGCAATCGTCATCCCCGCTGGCGGCCGCCGCTGGAGCAAACAGCTCTGCGAGGCGCATCTCCCGTGGCCGCGGCAGCCGCGCGCGCCCCGCTGCGAGGTCAGGCCACAGGGCCGCGAGCGCCGCATCGGCCGAGGGCCCGCTAATTCGGACGACGGCCACGGCGCTCGGCGGGGCCCCGGAGCTGAGGGCAAAGATGGTGTCTCGCGGCGGGCGCGGCGGCCAGCTGGCGCCGGCTGCTGGCAGACTGGCGGACACGCTGAAGGTGCAGCGGCCGGCGGCTGGTGCCTTTGCTGCGCCCCACATGCTGCTGTTGCTGGTCCTGCCGTCGCTGGGGCGGCCGAGCAACCTTCCAGCGCCCCTACCGCCCCCCACCTCGTTAGTCATCGAGGTGGTCCTTCTGGCCCAGACGCTGCTGCTGCAGCATGTGCTTCCGCTGAAGAGACGCGTCACAGCAGGGGCCCCTACAGGCAGCATGGAAGGTTCCCAGGGCCAACTCAAGTTACATCATGGTGTAGCCTGTCACCTAAACACTTGAAAGTCATACAGTCAAAGCGCACGTGCTGGTCACCACTCGCCCCACCGCCATGCGCCTGCACGGGCTTGCTGCCAACAGAATACAGTTTGTTTTCTAGGTGAGGTACAATCTACAAAAAACACATCAAGGTTGATGCAAGCGCGAAAAAGGGCACAAAGCCGTCGACGTTTGAGACGCGTGTTCACCAACACGCCAACCCAAAGACCGCGGACATATGGCCGCCTGCGGCCGGCGCAGCGGCGCCGCCGGCTTGCCGCCGCGCCTATTCACCTGTGTAGCGTGGCGACCGCTTCTCAGCGAATGCCTTGAGGCCCTCTAGCCGGTCGCGAGTGGGGAGCAGCTGCGCATAGCACGCCTCCTCCAACGCGAGGCCGCTGTGCAGGTCCACCTCGCTGCCACCATCCATGGCGGCCTTGGCCATGCGCAGCGAAAGGGGCGCCGCCTGCCAGCGCAAGGGTCGTCGGTTGGAGGTTTGTGGGGCGGAGTGGTGAGGGGCGGCTAGGCGTTGCGGGGTGGGGAGCGCACTGCAGGGCGGCGTGTTTGCCCGCTGCTATACAAGCGAAAAAGTGCCGAGTCACTCACCCCTGCTGTCCCAAAGCCAACCCGCACTTGCACACAACATGGGAAAGGAGACGACACCTACAAGCACGTAGCAAAGCGCACGCACGCAAGTGCACGTGATGTTCCATATGCACGCGCATGCGTACACACACATACACACACACACACACGCATGCGAACTCTTCTTCTCACTCATTCACAAACCACCCCTTGCAATCACAAACCTGCGCGATGTCTGTGGCGATCTCCAGGGCCCGGTCCAGCGCGCCCCCCTCCTCCACACAGTGGTCAACCAGCCGCAGCGCCACCGCCTCCTCGCCACCCACCCTCCGCGCCGTGAACACGAGCTCTTTGGCCGCCGCCACGCCCACCAGCCGCGGCAGCCGCTGCGTGCCGCCGGCGCCGGGGATGATCCCGAGCCGCGCCTCCGGAAACGCGAGCGACGCGCCGCGCGACGCAACGCGCAGGTCGCACGCGAGCGCCAGCTCGGCGCCGCCCCCCAGCGCATAGCCCTCCAGCACGGCGATTGTCGGCATGGGCAGCCGCGCGACCTCCCCCATAAGCCGCCGCAGCGACGCGACGCACTCCGCGGCCTCTTGGTGCGTCATGGCCGCGCGCTCTTTGAGGTCGGCGCCCGCGGAGAAGCAGCCGGGCACGCGGCTGCGCAGCAGCACGCAGCGCGTGGTGCGCTCCTGGCGGAGGGTGTCGAGAGCCTCTAGGAGCTCGCGGACGAGGCGGCGGCCGAGGGCGTTGCGGGCGTCGGGGCGGTCGAGGGTGAGCAGGCTGATGCCCTCGTGCGTGCCGCCCAGGGGCTCGACGGTGACCTGGGCGGGGTTGTGTGTGCGTGTGCGTGTGCGTGTGCGTGCGAGTGCGTGTGTGCAAGTGTGCGCGTGTGCACGCACACGTGTGAAGACGCATGCAAGCCAAACAGCAACAGCCCAGCTGAGGTCAGCAGCTTGCTCACAACCTGTGGACCCCCTGCAGGCCGCTGACCAAGCCTTAGCCGTAGCTGGGCAAGCCAGTGACCTGCTCACCTGAAGCTGACTGCTTGCCTGAGCGGTGCTGTACGCGCTCCACAGGTGTGCTGCCCTCGTCGCGCTGGCGAGCTCCGTCAACATGCTGACGCTGGCGAGCGCGCGGCGCATTACATGCGCGCCCACGCCCATGGTCGGGCCCACTGTCGTCGCAGCCAGCGCCTCCAATAACATCTCGGCCAAGTGTCTACGTCCGCAACGGCTTGAAGGCAGCGGGGGCCCGGCGTTTGAGGAAAGCGTAAGCAACTGGCAGAACAACCAGTGCTACCATCACTGCAAAGCCCCCCAAGTATCTCAGGGGAGAGGGGCTCTCAATCATTCCCCCGCCTCGCTGTTGGTGCGATCTCGTTCCGAGAGATCAGGACGCTGAAAGCAACGTGCAATGGTTGTTAGAGCACCTGCTGCGGTCTATACATGAAATGCAGATGTGTGAAGCAAGGTGCCCGGATGTGTGATGAGCTGCTGATGCAGCACCGGTGGCCTCCCAGGCGTGTGGCCGGCTGGTACCACTGCGAGGTGTGACGGCCGGGCGGCCTCATCCGCGAGTTGCAGATAAAGCATGCAAATAGAAATGGCGTGGCATATGTCCCCGAGTGCATGACATTGCCATGTGATGATGTGGCCTCGCTGTGCGACAAGTCAAACCTGCGTCAAGCGATCGATTTCATGCAACGCCTCGCCAGCAACGGTCCATGGACAGGACAGGACAAAAAGGGTTTCTTCTCGGATCACATTGATGGTATGACAAATGCCCACCTTTGTCCCTGTCCTCTGGTCAGTTTGGAGACGGCAGTGCTGACCAGCCCCACACGCTGTGGGAACTGCGTCTGGGCGTGGCGCCATACCGCGCAAGCAAAGCGCTGTGTCTGTGATATTGATTTTTCTGGCTTGAACGCAAAATCTGTGCTGCATTTTACACCATGTGGTGCAAAGCGTGCATCGTCCTGTTGGTGACCAAGTGAGTGAGGCAGTGACGATAAAGTTGTGGGCATACACCCATTCGTGGGCCTGGCTCTCTAGTATTCTGATACAAACTATATTGATATCACGTGCACAAACCACGTCTCGCTGAAAAGGTGCCGCACTTCTTCATTTCTAGGGGCTGCAAGCACCACGCACAGACTCGCGCATACCCTGGTGTGGTCGATCGGGATGCAATTGAGACGGGCCACCAGCCCAATTGGTTGTGCGTCTAGGGCCCTGGCTGTGCCTCGCGCGACCATGGCTGCTCCCGTGGCGAGCTCAGCTGCGGTCGTCAGCAGCGCGCCACAGCTCGTGGACGCTAGATACGCAAAGGAACTGCAGGCGGCATGCGAGGCAGTGCGGCTTGCTTCAATGTTGTGCCGGGTGCGCGCCGGTGCGCTGCCATGCCTCGCTCTGCTTGTGCTGCTGCAGGGAAATGCACGCCAAGGCCTGCACCCGCGTCTGGGCGTAACAGTGCCCGTCCCATCTCTGGCACCCAACCACTCATGTCATGTTCCTCATGGCGCACCGCAGATCGTACAGCAGCAGCTGAGCGATGCAGAGAAAGTAGACAAGCAGGACGACTCCCCCGTGACCGTGGCCGATTACGGTGGGCTGACGCTGAAGGGCCTGATGTGCGAAGACGGCACGCGCCCGCAGCGCCTTGCTGACAGGCCCGGCGCTGCCCTGCTGCCCCCCGCACGGGGACTCGCAGGCGCGCAGGTGCTGGTGGCGTGGGCGCTGTCGCGCGTCGACCCGGACACCAGGCTGTCGATGGTGGCCGAGGAGGACTCCGCCAGCCTCAAGTGCGCGCATCTCATGGGCAGCATACGGCTGCCGCCAGAGGCAAAGGCGGCGCGGCGTCCTTGACAGTGGCTCACGGCTGCGGGTGACACCTTGCCCCTTGACAGCCCGTCCTCCGCTTGATGTTTTCCGTCCTGCGCGACTGCAAACACTCATGACAGGGACCCGAGCGGTGCGGCGATGCTGCAGCGCATCACAGACATTGTCAACAGCGTCGTGGTTGAGGCCGGCGGCGAGCCGCTGACAGGGGATGACGTCATTGCGCTCATCGGTGAGCAGTCCGCGGCCGCCACCCAGGACAGCAGCGGCCGACAGGGCGCGCCCATGCACTCAGCAGAGCATGCGCCTGGTGGTGTTGTCGTCCTCTCGCCAGTCCCCGCTAACAACCCTTGGGTTGTTACCCTTCTGACTGTGCCATAGCTGCAAGAGCCTGCTGTGTTGGCCCGCACAACAAGCGGCTGACTCAACGTCGCCTGCGCCCCCCTTTATCCTGCAGACCTTGGCCAGTCAGCGGGCGGCCCCGCTGGCCGCCACTGGGTGCTGGATCCCATCGATGGCACGCGCGGCTTTGTGGGCATGCGGCAGTATGCAGTCTGTCTGGGCATGCTGCAGGACGGCGAGGTCGAGCTTGGAGTGCTGGGCTGCCCCAACCTGCCTCAGGACCTCATAACCGACGAGGACGGTGGCGCGGGTAGGCGGACGAGGGGCGGCGCCGGGGCTGGAAGGGGGGCACAGATGCGGGGGCCCAGGACTGGGGGAGCAGGGCGCGGTTGAGGAGGAGGCGCCTCGGCCGGGTGAAGAGCGAGGCAGCTGATGCTGGCCGCAGAGCGCGGGTGGGGCGGTCATAGTCGTCATGAACATTGCGGCGGGGTCTGCATGGTTATGTCTGGCGAGGCGTTGCACTGACCATGTGATTGTGGTGCCACCGACTCCACCGCTGCTGCTCTGGCCCAGCGCCGACGACACGTCAGCCGTTCGCCACCACCATGACATTCGCCCCTCGCACGCCGCCCGTGCTCCCCACCCCCCATCTCCCCGCCCAGCCGCCGCCTCGCGCAGCGGCGAGGCCGGCCGCGGCTGCCTGTTCCTGGCGCACCGCGGGGCTGGGGCGTACGCGGCCGACCTCTGGGATGCAGCTGCCCCGCTGCAGCGGATCCGCGTGAACGACGTCGCAGACAACAGCGGAGCGCGGTTCATGGAGTCGTTTGAGAGCCGCCACTCGGACCACAGCTTCACCGGCCAAGTGGTGCGCTGCAGTCCTGCATGCTCGTCTTATTGTGGGTGCATGTGTGCGTGTCCGTGTGTGTGTGTGTGTGTGCATGTGTGGCTTTGCATCCTTGCGTGCGCAATTTCTCGGTGGGACACGTTTTGCCAGAGGTGTGGGCAGCTAGAGGGAGCACAGGGCTGGCTGGGGCAGCAACAGCGTTGCAGCTTAGCACCCCTCATTCGGCCTTCAAAATGGGGCCACTGCCAGGCGCGTGTGGTCATCCAGTCTGCTGATTATCGGCACACTGCACGCCAAGGCGCCCGCCGAGTGTGTGCGCAGCCTCACCTCGCATACCCTCCGGCCCACCATGACGCGCGCGCGGCAGGCGCGCTTGATGGGTGTCACGCTGCCGCCGCTGCGCATGGACAGCCAGGTCAAGTACGGCCTGCTGTCCCGCGGCGATGCGTCCATCTTCATGAGGTTCCCGCCGCCCTCGTATCGGGAGAAGATCTGGGACCACTGCGCGGGGTTCGTAATCGTGGAGGAGGCCGGCGGGCGCGTCACCGACGCCGGCGGCGCGCGCCTGGACTTTTCGCGCGGGCGGTGGCTGGACCTGGATAGGGGGATAGTCGCGGGGCCGCCACGGGCGCATGCAGCGCTGCTTACGGCGGTGGCGGCGGCGGAGGCCGCGCGGGCAGCGGCAGGGGCAGGTTCCAGCGGTTCCTAGGCCTGGAGTAACCGAGTCACGGACGTGGACTGTCATAACGGTGTCTGCTGGGGTCTGATTGGGGACCTGCCGGCGCTCTTGACTGGCAGGTATATGTTATTCGCTGGCATATGCCTATTTACAGACAACCTGGCACCCGCGAGTGCTAGCTGGATTTGCTGCCTGTCACTGCGGTTGTGTTACCCACAGAGACGCAGGTGGAGCTGGGTTAACAGCTTCTCTCCTGCGGTCCTGTGTATTCCTTTGAGCGCACAAGGGTTGCTTTGCACCCGTGCAGACGTTTTGAGAGCGGCCTAGGCGGCGTAATTCCATTGGGGGTCATTCCCTTCGACGCACTCTCGCCCTGGCTTCCGCAGTCGGTGCATTACAGCAGCCTGGAGCGGAGAGTGCGTACATCTGTAGCATGACACACAATCAGTTTCATAGATTCTCTATAACAACGAGGCGCCTCTTGCCTTGGAGGGGCGCTCTTTGAGCGAGGGTGTGGCACTCGACCCACGCGTCGTGCGTAGGGGCGGTGTTCTCTGCAGAATGCGTGATTACACAAGGATATAAGGCAGTAAATCGGACCACACACCCGCAACAGTGAGATCACCCGGCAAATCCAGGGCACCGACGCCTGTCCCGGTGTCTACGGGCGCGAAACAGCCTGTCACCGAGCAGGATGGCCATAGGCACGTCTCTTGGCGCGTGAACTCAAGCCGGACGCAAGGTTCCTTTGTGCCCCGGAAGGAGGAAGTCGCATTCGGTGCTAAACGGCAGCGCGCATTGCTCTCTGCGCGCCCTAGTAGCTGGAGAGGTGGCGTCTGGGCTACGCCCCAGTTGGACGGCCAGGGGGGCGCCAAGGTGCGGCCCGCATGGCTGCCATGTGGGAGCAGCCAAGACGACTGCTGCAGGGAAGGGCCCCCGCCCTGCCGAACGTCCAGTCGCACCTGGTGGCATCCTGGGACACCTTTGAGTGAAACTTGCCTCCGCATGTTGTCCCCCAAACTTAAGGCCCTCCGGCGAAGGAGGCCGCATCGACGCGCTGCGCTGCGCCGCTGCTGACTGATTCAGTGCGGCGCCAGGCAGGCCGCTGAGCGCGCCCGGCGCTCAGTCCTGCGGCGAGAGGGTGCTGGCGGCCGGGATGGACTACTACGGGGGCGACGCAGTGTTTGACCACAGCTTCGGCCTGGCCGGCTGGCCCCCGCCCGCTGTCGCCGCCGGCCAGTCGCCGCACATGTCGCTCGGCACGCCGCCGCACGCGATGCTGATGGCCGCCGCCGCCGCCGCGTCGCTGCCGCTCGAGCCCCAAGGCAGCGGCGGCGGCGGCCTCAGCGTGAGCTTGGCCGTCGAGTGCGGCACGGTAACAGGCATAATGCAGCTGCCCAAGGGCCGCATCATCGTGAACCCCGGCACTGACGCAGCCCGCGAGGTTTCGCCGACAGAGTTTGAGCGGCTTGGTGGCAAGGGCGCGGCCAAGAAGTGGCGCCACAGCATACGGCTGAAGGACGGTGCGCAGGGTGCCGCGTGCTCCCGGCGCGTCGCGCGGCGCTCGAGGGACCAGCGCGCCAAGCGCTCACAAGCTTCCTTGCGTGAGGCTGGGCTGGGGCGCCGCGCAGTTCCCCCCTATTTTGCTGCCAGCAATCGGATGGGAGCAAGCGCCCAATCTGCGTGTGTGTGCCCCATGTGCATCCGTGTGCCCCGCCCTCAAAAATGCAGGCAAGCAGCACATTGGCGACTGGATGCTTCACCATGGCTACGAGGTGACGGCGCCCCAGGACAAGCAGCAGCAGAAACAGCAGCAGCAACAGCTGCAGTCGCAGGTCCATCAGCAGCAGCAGCCGATGCAGCAGCAGCAACAATTGCTGCAGCCCGCCCTTGTCCCAGAGGACCCCTGGCACGCGTCGCTGCCGCCCGCGGCGGCCGCCGCCGTCGCATCAGCGGCCACCGGCACCGGCCCCGGCCGCAGCGGCAGCGGCCACAGCAGCAGCAGCGGCTGCGCGCCGGCGAGGAAGCCCAACCCGTTTGCCGGCGGCGCCTACCAGGCCGCGGCGGCCGCGGCGTTCGCCGGCAGCTCCCCTTCGATCGGCGCCGCCCCGCACGTGCCGCGCCCGGCCTTGAAGGGCACGAGCAGCGGGCTGCAGATGTCACAGACGCCCGGCGCGGCGCCGCTTTTGCCGACACATTTGTCTGACTCTGTGCTGGACCTCCTGTCTCACGAGCAGCAGCAGCGCTCCATGCTCGTCGCGCAGCAGCAGCAGCAACGGCAGCGGCTCGCCGCTGCGCAGCACCACCAGCAGCGCCTGCAGCAGCACCAGCAGCAGCAGCAGAGGCAGCACCTGATGCACATGCAGCAGGTGCTCGCGCAGCAGCAGCAGCGCGCGCTGCTCACCAGCCACGCGCTGCAGCAGCAGCACTCGGCGCCGCAGCTCACGCCGCACGGCCCGTGGGGCGGCATCGCCGCCGCCGCCGCCGCAGCAGCAGCGGCCGCTTCGCCGTCCCCTTCGCGGCCGCCCGCGCCGCACCTCGCCCGCGGCGGGGCGGGCGGCCTCGGCGGCGCGCGCACCGACCTCTCGCCGCTCCCCGGCGACGGCAGCGAGGCGGTGGCGGCGATGGCGGACTACCTCGCCGGCCTCGCGCCCACCGCCCCGCTCCACCTGCTGCAGCTGCAGACCCCCTGCGTCGCCGGCCGCGCGCTCGACCTGCGCGCGCTCTTCGCGGCCGTCGTGCAGCGCGGCGGGTACTGCGCGGTGACGGCGTCGGGCGGCTGGGGGGAGGTTCTCTGGGAGGCAGGGCTGCGGCTGGAGGGGGCGCGCGCGGCGGCGGCGCTGAAGCAGGTCAACGCGGCGTACATCCAGATGCTCATGCGGTTCGAGCGCATGTTTGACACTGAGGCGTGGCTGGCGCTGACAGGGCGGCCGGTGAGCGGCAGGGCCGCGCGCAGCGGGCGTGGGGGCCGTGCACTGGGAGGGGGGTCGAGGATCGCGAGCGACCGGAGTGGATTCAGGGCCTGCGCATGGCGGCTTGCTCGTTTCTTGGGGGTTGCGTTTGTCCCTGGGTGTGCTTTCCACGACGCCTGCCGATGCAAAGACGCTTGACAAGCAGATTGCTTGACACCCCTCCTCCTCCCCCCCCCCTACGCAGTCACCCGTGCTGGGCGCGCCGACCGCCTCCCCCGCCACCCGGCTGGCCGCGATGGCGGCCGGCATGCCCGGCGGCTTGGACGCCTCGGGGGGCGGCGGCGGCGGCGTCTCGCGCTCGCCGCTCACGCGGATTGGCAGCCCGGACGCCGTGCCGTCAGTGTGCAGCAGCGGGCCCATCTCGCCGCCTTTCGGCGCGTTCCCGGGGCTCCCCGACCACGAGCGGCCCCTCAAGCGCCGCAGCATGGCGGACGACGCCCTCGGCCGCGCCGCGCCGCGCAACGGGTCAGCCGGGGCGCCGCTCCTCCGCGGCGCGTCGTCGCAGCCGCTGCGGTCGCCGGCGGAGCCGTGGGGCGCGGGCGGCGGCGTGCCGCAGCATGCGCATGCGATGCGTGGCGATGGGGGCCCGGACGGGGCCACTGGCGAGCCCCAGGCGCCGCCGCTGAGGTCTGCCAGCTTGGGGTCAGGTGAGCATCCCGCGTCGCGTTTGCACGTTCAATCAGTGACTGGGCCGTTCTGATTCTGGGGTATTGGGAGTGCAGGGGGATGGGTCATTGACGCCTGGAAGGCGCGTTTTTTTGGCGCGGCCTGCGCTTGCTGCACGCGAGCCGCTGCGTATGCTCTCTGTCATTCCAATCGCGGCCCCCTCTGGGCACTGCGGCGCCTCCACGCCCCTTCGCCTGCTCACGGCTCCCCCCCCTCCGCCGGCGCCCTCGCCCACTCGTTCCCCTCGCTTGCGCAGCGGCGGCCGCAGGGGTCCACTTCAAGGCGGAGGCTTTAGATGACCAGGGCGGCTTTGACATAGCGGCGCGCTACCGCTCCACCCCTACCCTGGCCGCGGCGGCGTCGGCGCAGCAGCTGCGCCAGCTGCAGCTGCGCTACCACCATCAGCAGCAGCAGCAGCAGCAGCTGCTGCTCCAGGCGGGCTTCGGGGCGGGGCTGGCGCCGAGCGGGCTGCTGGCACAGCCGCCATTCCTGCAAACGGCGGGCGGCAGCCTCCCGCTGCCGGGGACGCACTTGCTCGAGCACTATCACTCAGAACCGGTGTCCGGCCACAGCGGCGGCGCGCTCGGAGGCGGGCCGCTGCAGCCCGGCGGCGAGGGCCTGGAGCCGATCGGCAGCCGCGGCGGGCGCACGCTGCGCGGCAGCGACAGCCTGCCCCTGCCGCGCGTCGCCGAGGCCGCCGCCAGCGGCGAGCCGGCGTCGTCCAGCCCCGCAATCGAGCGCGACCAAGAACAACAGCAGCAGCAGCAGCAGCAGCAGCGTCGGGGCCAGGGGCATCAGCAAGAGCAGCAGCAGCAGCAGGAGCAGCAGCAGGAGCAGCAGCAGCAGCACCAGCAGCAGCAGCAGGAGCAGCCCCTCCTGCCCCCGCCGCACCTAATCGACCTGCCGTGGCCCGGCGGCGACGGCGACCTCGGTTCTCCAAAGGTGGACGGCATGGATTTTACGGACTTGATAGACGGCTTCTCTCAGGAGCTTGAGCTGCTGGCGGTCGAGTGCGGCGACAGCGCCGAGGGCGGCGCCTCCGAGGGCGGCGACAGCGATGGCGGGCGCGAGCGCGACCAGGGGCTGGTGCAGTCGTTCGATTGAGCGGCTGTCGTGTAGGGGCGCACGCGAGGTCTCGCTCGTGCTGGCGGCCGCCGGGCCGGCCCGTCGCAGCCGCGGGGGCCCCTCCGCGCGGCCCCTGCGGCAGGGGGGTACATTGAGCTTTGGCGGGGGCGAGGGCAACGCGATCATCTTTGAGTTGAGCGGCGCAGCAGCGCAGGCCGCCCGGCTGTGCAGCGCATCCAGTGCAGCACAGCGGCGCGTGAAGGCTACGCTCGCGGCCCGCTCCAATCTTTCTCCCAACACCTTCAACGCTTGCAACTGGAACTGCACCTGATCTGAATACATAGCTTTGGGCCCAATCGCGGGCATGGCGCCCCGCCGGCCCCTTGCCAATTTTGCAGCCGCACCGCTCTGCGGTCTGGGCGACGGCGGGCAGGCAGGGGACCCTGGTGCCTGTAGGCAGGGGGAACCTGGGGTAGGGCTGTCATCAATCAATGCGCTCAGCACAGCACAAACGACCCGGCGAGGCGTGTTTGAGGGCATTGCTGGTTGTACTTGCGCTGCTTGCTGCACGCCCGCCAACCGGCGCCGGGCGATGCGCATGGCACCTGAAAATTGCGCGTGCTTTGTCAAGCACCTCTTTTGTTCCACCTGGCGGCAAGGCCGCGTCACCGGGCCTCGTGGACACCCGGCGGCCCGGCTGAATGGTATGCACCGGTGCGTCTCTAATGTGCACTTGCGCTCTGCCGTGCGTGTGTGCCGCGTCTCACAGCAGCGCGCGCCTCTATCTGACCACAATGAGGTCTCTATTGAGGGGTTGCGGCAGCGCGAGAAGTAGGGGGCTTTCATGGCGAGCCATGTCCTGACCAGTTGGCCCATGATGGCGGGTAACAAGACCCCTGCAAGTTGTGACCCTCACCTCTGAAGCCGGACTAACCCAGACATAGTAAGCGCCGGAAAGGGCGTATGCTTGTGCAAGCACGTTGTTGCATGCGGCAGCGCATGCATGGACTGTGCGCACGTGCGTGCGTGCGTGCGTGCGTGCGTGTGTGTATGTGTGTGTGTGTGTGTGTGTGTGTGTGTGTGTGTGTGTGTGTGTGTGTGTGTGCGCGCGTGCATGCGTATGCGTATGCGTATGCGCGCATCCGCCCCTGAGACTGCACACTGGTCGGGACGGGCCTGGCCATGGCTGTTGTGCGCCCAAGTGACGCTGTGGCGTCACCAGCCGCGGGCATTGCCCTTGAACGCCTTGAGCTCCGTGTCCCACCGTACCCTTATGAAGCCCAGCATGCTGTAGACAGTGGGTTCCTCATCAGTCCTCGTCAACTGGGTCCGCCTCGGCAGTGCAATCTCGGCACACACAAAGCGGCCCATCTCTCAGAGCGTGAGCGTCTCCAACACGCAGCTGACATAGAGTACACGATTTGATACAGCCGCCTCCCAGGCGGCATCGGCAGATTGCATACCCTCGTGCCAAGATGGAGCAAGAGACGCAGAGCGCTTCGCAATCGGCCGTTCAGGGCGAATCGCAGGCTCCGCGGCCCGTCCTGAAGAGTGGCTGGGCCAAGGTCGTGAAGGGGGCGCCCACCAGTCAGGAGCCCTCGCCAGTGGCCGCCGTTGCAGCGGCATCCCAGACTGAGGCGAAGCCGGAATCGGATGGAGCCAATGCAAACCAGGCCGGGCCTGAGCAGGCTGGCTCCGGCAAGCGGGCGGACAGCGATGGCAAGCCCGCAGTCCTCGCCCAGCCCAGCAGCAAGGGCCGGCAGAGCAGTGAGGGACAATCAGATGTAAAGCAGGACGTCGTTCAAGGCGCTGCTGCCGAAATCGACGCCCAGGAGAGAGGAGCAGCAGGCGGCGGCGGCGGCGGGGCAGCCGGCGGCGTTGATGCAGCTGACAACGTTGGTGCTACCAGCACGGTGAGTGCCTCTCAACCTGTACACAGGCAATTCAAACCACCCAGAACACTGGGACCCGCTGCTGGAGGGCGCAGCCAAGCGGAGCCTTTGGCCGCCCCCTCGGGCACTAGCATCGCGGCGCAGCTGCCCCACCGCAGCCGGCTTGCTAAGCCCTGGCCACACCGGCTGTCCCTCCCCCCCAGGAGGACTCCAAAGACGGCGTCAAGGAGGCACCCAAGCCGCTGAAGCCTGCCTGGAGAAAGGTGGGCCGGCGGGCCGCGGCTGGCGCCACGCCACCTACTGCACGAGGTCAAAGCGCTCGCTGAAGTCATGGCGCAGCCGCGCGCTGCACACGCAGTCACCCACCCCGGCACGTGTTCTGCCGCACATGCTGCGCCCTGCAGCTGCTTGAAGGGCACTCGCACATGCGGTCACCTCGAGCGCGTTCCAGCCACAGCAACTGATCACCCCTGGGTGGCCGCTCTGCGCGCACCGCCTGCACGCGCCCGCAGGCGGGGACGGAGGTGGTGGCGCCGGCTGCGCCGGTAGCCCTGGGCAGCGCCACCGCCGCATGGCCCACGCTGGGGGACTCGAAGGAGGCACCGAGAAGAAAGAAAGAGAAGGGCGGGAGCGGCAGCGGCAGCGGCAGCGGAGACGCCCCAGGCGGCAGCAGCCCGAGCAGGCCGGCGCGGGTGAGTGGGCAGACAGCAGCGCGGCGCCATCCGCGTGCTGCAGTTCATGAGTGGGAAGTGGCGGGGACCTTTGAGTGACGCGGTGGCCGACGTGTGGACGTCTCGGCGGGCGCCCGCCACCTGTGTCGCGCCCGGAAACTGTGAAGCGCGCGCCGTGCAAAATCCCAGCCCGCACCCCGCGCCGCTCAAGTGCGGTGTGAGCAATTACGCGCGCGTCCCGCTTGTGCATCCCGCAGGACGCGCCGTCCGCGCCCTCGCCGGGCGCCAAGGAGCGGCGCAAGGGCAACAAGGTCCACCTGGCGGCCATAAACCCAGAGCCATACAATAGCAAGCCAGGCGATGGCGGCGGCGGCGGCCCCGGCCGGGGGCGCTCTGGGGAGAGGGGCCGGGGCGGCGGCCGCGGCGAGCGGGGCGAGCGCGGCAGCAAGCAGTGGGTCGCCGCCGCAGCGGGCGGTGGCGGCGGCGGCGGGCAGCAAGCGCAGGCCACAGGGACAGGCGGTGGGGGCTCGCCGGCGGGCGGGAGCGGTGCTGCTGGGGGGAGCTCGGGGG